GACTTTGTCGGAGATGGGGTTTTCCGGCTGATCGATAAGATCTACCGATCTCGTTCAAATTTTTTTTTAACTAGGGTTAGGGTTTGAAGGGTGCTTGCTTTGATACCATGTTAGAGATGGTAAATCAGAATTGCATAACTTTATTCATCATCATGGGTCTATAAATAAGAGTACATAACACATATGGGTAATAGGTTAATGGGTCTAAATCCGATAACCCAATATTAATACTAGTGTACTAATACCAACACCTACAATAGAAGGTGAACTCCACGAAAAGGGCACATAGGAAGTGAAAAGCCGCGTCTTTGGTTCGGCTGAGGAAACAGTTTTGCTGAGAGCATAGGATATCTGATGGGGTGCTTTCCTTTAGAATACTTCAATTGGTGTAGTTATGTTTTTTTTTTTTGTTGCTTCCTTTTCTAAATTAAAATCTTCTTTAGATGGAATTTTTAATTTAACTGCATAACAACATCTCGAACAATACTTGAGTATGTCATTGTTGAGCAGTGTGATATTCCTCTATAAATGAGTGAAGACTTTCGAAACATCAGTCAGTGAGCTCCACTCTCCATTATCTGTAACTATTCTTGCTAGTTTATATCTTTCTATGCATTTCATATTACATCTCCTTGTAACTTATATGTGTACATTAAATATTTCTATGTTATGCAAATACATAACATTTTATCTCATTGCCTTCGAAAAGCTCCCTTGATTCCTAAAATATCAAGCATTCCTATTATTCCCATCCCAATGACAAACCAAGTAATTCCTGCTAACACCACTTGCATTTCAAAGCTATTCACAACTTCTAGTGCCACGGATCCACCGATGTGATTATTTATAGCTTGGCTGGTATTTTCTGCACCTCTGTTTCCTACTATCATAGCTGAAAGTGCTGCCATTGTCAAAGGAACCCTTAAACTCATTAGAGTCCATTTGCTTCTTATAACTGTTTCACTTCTTTGATCCTTTTGTGAGTCCTCTAACAATGTGTTTGGTGAGGGCTCAGATGAGGAAGTTATAGAGCTCAAATTATCAACAGGCGATGGGAGGCTCAGCACCGGTGTCCAGTACTCATCACTGTGTTTAAAATTCATTGAAGAATTTGCAGGCCTTGCATTTTCTTGAGATTTCATTTTTCTAACTGCTTCCCTAAGTTTTTCGGTGTTCGTTTGAGTATATTCTTGAGGAATGTGTATCATGTTGAGGCTCGTTTCAGATTCAGATGAAGGAGATTGCCAGTACCACCAGTTTGAGAAGCATCTGATCCCCTGTACAGCAGAAACCCTTGATTCTCTTTGAAGGTCTGATTCCTGAAAGCCAAAACAGAAGTTAAGTCTCTTTAAAGATGTGTATAAATTGAGGTTTATATTATTCTACCTTGGACTTTGTTTTTGAAGCTTTATCTTTCATCTCCTCAAACCTTGTTTGAAACTTGTTCACCTCTGCAAATATATTGGAAACTCGAACTCCTCCTGTGTTGCCTCCACCGGTCATTCGAACATTTCCCCTTGGCTGCTTCGACATCAGAAACTCCAGGGCAGCAAGATTTGATCTCTCTACTATCCTTAAGTTCATTAAAAAAAATGTTACTTGAAGTAGTACTAATTGAGATGAAATTATGAAATGTGCATGATCAAGTTTAACTGTGGAAATATGTTGGATATAGACCGGATTTGATATTTATGATATATGCAAGTGTTTACTAATCATGGATACAAATACGAAAAAGAATATAGTACAAAAAAAGAACTCATACCTACATCTACCAAAATAAGAATCTAATGCAAGGAAAACAAGCATGAATACACTGTATTGGATATGAGGAAGCAGACAAGACTTGGAACTATAGTTGATGTAACATAAACATTATCTAAATAAAACAAACTTCCGAAATCAAAACCCCAACATCCATTGCGGCTAAAAAGATTAAGAATAGATTTTTGGATCTTCAAAATCAACTATTGATCTCAGAGTAAAATTCTAAAATCACTCCAGATCTACTAAGCTGAAGTCGAAAGAATTTTAGTTGTCTAATTGCACAAATATATGGATATTTGGATCCTTAAACTTGATAATTATCGCATCCATATTCTACCGAATACTAAATAAAAAAAACTGATTGGATATTGATATGGGGTATGTGCGTCTGGGGGTATTACCCCAAAGATCACTTACGAGATGCAGTCGACAGGGCAAATCTGGATGGCATCAAGGATCTTGTCTTCAGGATCAGCCCACTGCCCAATAACTCTTGCACGTCCATAAACAGATTCAATGGCGAATGTGTTCTTAGCATACAATGCACATTTCAAGCATCCAACACATTTCACTTCGTCGACAAACACTGCACGCTGTTCGTTCTCTGATCCGAACCATGTTGAATATAGCGGTTTTCCTGAGTACCCTCTGAACTCTGATAGCTTTGCTTGTTCCTGCATTCAAAACTAGGCATGAATGAATCTGAGGATGTCATAAAATAAAGCATATCAGCAGATCTATTTGTCAAAAAAAAAAAGGAAAGAAAGAAAGAAAGAAAAGTTCTGAGTGTGTTAAAAAAAATCACTCGCAGGTGAGCGATAGTAAGGAGGTCTCTCCTCAAGTAACCCAATATGGACA